TGAACAATAGGTGTTTAACTGTCAATGTGTGTCATTGGATGTTTGTGGAAAATGCCGTAATATAACGTGTTGCGTTATCCTTTTCGTAGCTTGCCAATTACTTGAAGAGTGTTGGTGTCGGCAAGGGTGATGCTGTGATCATCTACTTACCAATGTTGCTGGAGCTTCCCATTGCCATGCTTGCTTGTGCCCGCATTGGTGCTGTTCACTCGGTAATGGCCACAGCTAAAAAGCTCTCGTGGTTATCCTGGTTAATCCTTATGATTTAATGCATACTGCAAAAATTTCTCAGGTTGTATTTGCTGGCTTTTCTGCGGATTCCCTGGCCCAAAGGATCGTTGATTGCAAGCCTAAGCTTGTGATCACTTGCAATGCAGTCAAAAGAGGGGTGAAGCCCATCCTTCTGAAAGATATAGTGGATGCTGGTCTGGCTGAAAGTGAGAAACAAGGAGTCGCTGTAGGTATGCAGTACAATCTGAATTCTGCATCCGCACAGGCAATTCTAAGCTGTTATCATTTCTTGATTTGCATAAGATGACTTATTACTTATTAGGAGAATAGGAGGTCCATTCTAAATATGTAAACCTTTATAGTGACTGAGCTGTGGGTGATACAATTTATCCAGTTTACTGAAAAATTGAACAGAACACGACTAGGGATTTGAAAAAAAAATCACTATATTTAGTTTTTAACATAGGCGTTAGGTTTTGCAAATTAAATGAACAATAACATTATAACCATTAGTATGTAAATTTCAATATGTATCCAATATTTGCTGCATTTTGGCTGAAAGTTTATATAAATCACAAGATGTTCTTGTTGGAAATTTTCTTATCTTGTGCCATGTGGTTTATTCTGTGAGCACATGAATATAATTGCATACAATATCTTGTTTACTTACTACTACTGTGTTGGACAGGTCTATGTTTGACATATGAAAATCAGTCAGCAATGAAGAGAGAAGACACAAAATGGCAAGCAGGAAGGGATGTTTGGTGGCAGGTGTGTGAGTTTCTTCCTTCAACAGCTACCTTGTTAATACTTCTAATATACATAAGAAAATTTCAGGATAGGGATGTATATTCTTATAACATCACTGTCAATTTTCCATCATCTCCTTGAGTCATACCTTTCAGGATGTTGTGACCAGTTTCCCAACCAAGTGCGATGTAGAATGGGTGGATGCAGAGGACCCATTGTTCCTTCTGTACACAAGTGGCAGTACAGGAAAGCCAAAGGTGCTTATGGCCTTTTAATTGCATATGGCATAGAATTATCCTATTACTGCATTACCCAGATATTAATCTCTTTGAACATATTTAGGGTGTGTTGCATACTACTGGGGGCTACATGGTTTACAGTGCAACAACATTTAAGTATGCATTTGATTACAAGCCGTCGGACATATACTGGTAAAGACAAGTTCTTTTTTTTTTTAAGGAGATGGTTATGGCATTTTCATATTTTGGGGAACTACTCCGAGAAACTTCTATTTCCTCATACAATCTTTGGCCTGTGTGTGTGTCTCAACATCAGGTGCACTGCAGACTGTGGCTGGATTACTGGACACAGCTATGTGACGTATGGTCCACTCCTGAATGGAGCAACAGTTCTCGTTTTTGAAGGGGTATATTTCTAAATACGTTCAAGTTAGTATGTTCTGAAATAATTGTGGTTTCGATATGATTGCAATGTGATGGTAAAATAATCGTGTGGTTTTGATTGTTGTTGGTCTTCATATTTATTTTGTCTGACTTATCTTCTTGACTGACAACTCAGAACAGTCATGCCAAAATCTACTTTTATTTCCCAATCAGTGCTTGACTTCTTTCACTTGTTTTATGAATTTACTTACATGCCATTATGTTTAATTTAATAAGTTCTTTGTTAGGTATTCATTTTCATTTGCCTGTCATCCTTTGCCTGAAGTTTTCCTTTGAACCATAACTGTAGACTCCAAATTACCCTGATTCTGGTCGGTGCTGGGACATTGTGGACAAGTACAAGGTGACAATATTTTACACTGCACCAACACTCGTTCGATCACTCATGCGTGATGGCACCGAGGTACGCATGGTGATTCTGTATTGTGCTCTCTCATTTTTCCAGTACAAGATATACTTTCACAAAATCTGCAAGTGATACGAACGAGCCAATCTGGTGATTCTGGATGGCAGTATTTTAGCCCCCATCATGTCAGTTTGTCTGGACTCAAGTTGATTGACTGCAATCAACCATTGAATTTTGATATTTGATGCTGTTTGCTGAATCCCAACCTTTGCCAACCTAGTTATACTACTAACATGCAAAAAAGAATAATCTTGCTGCATGTGTACTGTGCAGTTAATCTGCATTAGTGGCACACTTACATTATAAAACACAGTGGAACTAATATTAAGTGTACAGACAGATATTTCATGCAGGCATCAGCACTACCTATTTGGTACATTATTTGACTTGCTAAGAAACTTGTGACTTGCCAACTTGAAAAATCGAAACTTCTACAAGACTGAATTAATTAGCTAATTCTGAGATATTTTATCTCTGTTTGTGAGTAATCATCACTGATTTTTGTTTATATGCTTTGCAGTATGTTACACGTCACTCTCGAAAATCTCTTCGAGTCTTGGGAAGTGTTGGTGAGCCAATTAATCCTAGCGCATGGAGGTTTGTGGAGCATTTATCAAGTGCCACAGTACTATATGTATAGAGTTATAAGATATCAGTTTCATGCATGGTTGATTTCATTTCAGATGGTTCTACAATATTGTCGGGGACTCTCGATGCCCTATCTCCGACACCTGGTGGCAGACTGAAACTGGTGGCTTCATGGTAAGTAAACCTCTTTATGTTCCACATCTCTTTCCAGTTTTCTCGTGAGAGTATTAAGTAACTCTGATGATCTTCAATGTTTTGATTTTCTGTATAGATCACTCCTTTACCTGGCGCCTGGCCTCAAAAACCAGGTTCTGCAACCTTTCCTTTCTTTGGTGTTCAGGTAATAATTTATGTCTTAAATGTAAAGACACCATTATAGAATATATTCTCACTACCTTGTAATTATTGTAATTTAGAAAATACCATAATAAATTGGAAGGATTTTTAAAACAGTTACGGTGATGGCATTTTCCTGAGTTCTTCATGTTTGCAATGTGATTTTATTATGTGAGACCTTTGCGATGGGTATTTTCCATGCTGTGTTTCTTTCTAACTAACTTTGCTGTGTCTGTTTGGTATTCAGCCTGTCATTGTTGATGAGAAAGGGAAGGAGATTGAAGGAGAATGCAGTGGATATCTTTGCATAAAGAAATCATGGCCTGGGGCTTTCCGGACTCTCTATGGAGATCATGATAGATATGAGACCACTTACTTCAAGCCATTTGCTGGCTACTATTTTACTGGGGATGGTTGCAGCAGGTAGTGAAGTCTTTCCTTCAATATTATACAGGATTCAGGTGTATTTTTTTAATTGCTTTTGTACTTTTCAGTTTTCCAAACAATTTTAGCTAAATAGTATTTGCATATCAGGGACAAAGACGGTTACCACTGGCTGACTGGAAGAGTAGATGATGTCATCAATGTCAGGTAAGCTGCTTCGTTAGGTCCATGTTACTTGCTATGGTTTAGTTCAGTGTTCGGAAATTATAAAATTAAAACTTTTTGGCTTCTTAATTTGTAGTGGACACCGGATTGGTACAGCAGAGGTTGAGTCTGCGTTGGTTTCACACCCAAAGTGTGCAGAGGCTGCTGTTGTTGCTGTTGAGCATGAAGTATTGTCCACTGTTTTTCCCCCTTGCTCCAATCTCTATTGTGTTGGCTATCCTGCTACATATGATGCTTAATCAATAAATTGTCTGCTTCAGGTGAAAGGTCAAGGAATATATGCTTTTGTAACTTTGGTGGATGGTGTTCCTTATAGTGAAGAACTACGGAAAAGCCTCATATTGACAGTCCGCAACCAGGTCTGCCTTGGTCCTTTTGGATGTTCTTTCTCCATAGTGACACGTGACAATGCTTTTTATTTTTTATTAACTTTGCGCACATCATCAAAAAGCACGAAAAACAACTTAACATGATTTTATCTTGTCTTGTGGCAGATTGGGGCATTTGCAGCTCCTGACAAGATCCACTGGGCACCAGGACTTCCTAAAACGAGAAGCGGTAAGATAATGCGCAGGATTCTGCGCAAAATTGCCTCAAAACAGCTGGATGAACTTGGTGACACAAGCACCCTTGCTGATCCTGGCGTCGTTGACCAGCTGATTGCGCTCAAAGATTGCTAGATTGTAAAAATTAGATGACAGATGCACTTCCACTGATGCTTGTGCGTTCCATTTCTCTTCCTATATGATGGAGATGCACTTTCTCTTCCTACATTTTAGTGTCCATAGTCTTTCGTTTATTCGGTGGAAGTTGCTCCTGGTCTAGGGAACTGAAACACGATATGGAATGATCTGAGAGTGTGGTGTTGGACTTCTGTATACTTGTGTTACACATTGAGATGACTTGCTCCATGAATGTATTTGATGGACGCAATAAATCCATTTCAATAAAATATTTTGTATGATTTTCCCCGTTCTAGTTCAAAATAGGCAATCTATTGTTTTTCAATTTAATTTGAGAATCAAGGTATTGCTTTCAGGCCTTATAACAATTCATTGGTAGTGAATCCTCTTGTGCTATTTTGCTTCAAACTGCATGCTCGTCAACCTTTAACATCTACTTCCTGTGTTCTCAAATAACACAGCACTGACTACTTCAGTTCAATTTTGTTCATATAATTACGCTTGAATGCGCTTAATGGATTAGACTACGATGAATGCAAGTTTTGTTTTCTTTTTTTTTTCTTTTTGCAGAAAAGAGAAACGGTCCAAGTTGGAAAATTAATAGTGTTAATTGGCAGTATGTTTTTTTTAAGAGATTGGCAGTATTTAAAAACGGGTAAATGCTTGATTTTTTTTATGCTGTTCGCAATGCTGGTAGAGTTGCTTGAGTATCCGTCAGAATATGTACTATATATATTCATCTGAATCACAGAGCGCGTCAATCATATACAAGAGCCTCCTCAACATATATTGATATATACAGAAGAGCTCAGGGAGGATACGCTCTGGCATGTGGCAACGACCATTGTTCAGTAGTGTCAGAAGCTGAACATTGCCGTTCTCTAACCACGTAGAAAAAATAACACGGCCTGAACATTTTTTATCTCCATATCCTGGCCATCCAAATAATCTTATATACGGATGTCTAATTATCTAGGAAATTATCTATGGCCTAAGTACTGTTGCGCAGACGAACAAGCTTCATGCCCCAACTCCGATGAACTTCAACTGTTTACAAAGAAAAAAAAATGTCAGGTGCATCAAAGAATGACTTTCACTTATCTGAAAGTATGGAATCTTTCTTCTTTCAAAAAAAAACCCTGAATTTTATTTATCTATTATTATTATTATTATTATTTTCTTTTTGAGATGATGAAAGTCTGAAATCTTCAGCTAAGCGAGGTTTGATAAGCAACTTACAAGGTTGTTCTTGGGCTCCCTCCAATAGAAACCATGGATGAAAATGGGCAGGATGTTGCATGCCACTAGCACGTAGATCATCAGCGCGTGCTTACCCATCCACTCCATGGGGATGGTAAGTTTCCTGAATCCATACACGTCCACCTGAAGGTTTCACAGGGTTTTTTCCAATGTTCAGAAATAGTGACAGGTTGCATGGCATTCGCATATGTTTTCTTGGGTCTAATTCAGAGGACTAACCAGTGTGTAGATCCCAGCAAAAAGAAGCCCTGCAGCACCAGAGGTAGCCAAGGCGTAACTTATCGTGTACAGCGGCTTGTTCATACGAATCCCTGAAAAAGAATCATGGAATGTTCTGATCAATCTCATGTTATTAGGATTTAGGAAGAAGGTACATGATGCAGGTTACTGTCTAGTAAGCTCTTACCAATGAAGTCCATTGAGAAGGCCAGTGCTAACATGCTGAAGGAAGGAATTAGCCAATTTATTATCCTTCCCTTGTGTTTCTACAGATCAATTTAAAAAAGAACATAAATTGAGAATATTTCCTCTATGATAAGAAATATACAGATGTAGTCACAAAACAAGTGTTATACCTCAAAATGTATAATTATATGTCCAAACTGCAGCCCAATCAAGCATGTGACAATTGCCATAACAGAGCTGATAAACGAACAAAAAACAGACTTGTCAGAATTTACAGTAAACAAGCACTTGGAAGAGCTGGCATTCCAAGATGAGCTTTCAGGCAATGATGATGAATGGTTAGTGAACTGACCTGAGGAGGCCTTCAGGATCAAATGGAGCCTGACACCATGATGGAGCATCAGGTGGAAGGGGCCCATTTTGCGGATAGTTTATACTACATTGCTGCAACAAGAAAAGCAAAACATAGATTGAAAAATTGAAAATAGGAAGAAAGAAACAATTCTCTGACAGACCTTGCATCATACTATAGTACCTTTGTACGCGCATAAACCGGTCGTCTGTAGAGATGATCGATCCCCAAGATTGTACGGTCAAGCATTCCAACGGCATTGCAAGCTGGACCAGTGTCTCCTCTTACTCCACATCTCACCTGATAAATCCAATGAAACATGAAGCTCTATGCTTTGCAGAGTGTACTGAATATGTTAAGCAGAAGACCGAAGAGCAGTAACACTTACAGAGAATGATTTCTCTGTGGAACCAGGACCTGATATCTGGTATTCCCAGTCTGGAACGTAGACACCGTTTAAAATAACAGTATACATGGTTGACAGGAGCAATGCTACAACCCTAGCAGAACAATGAATAACAATGTCAGGATTTAGGAATACTAGTACTAAAAAACCACATATACTGTATGTAAGCTGTTCTCTCTTAGTTACTACTAGAGCAACTGAACAAGTACAACAAGTACTACTAGTCAGGATTTAGGAGTAGAAGAAAGGAATGTCAGGTCAATATCACAAGAAAATAAACTAGAGCACAGCTAACTTGGTCAATGATCTATGACCTGGTAATATTGATTTATGTATTGTTATAACCAGTATTAGTCATGGGCAAACACTTATAATGTGGATGATTCGAACTCACAATTGGTAACGGTATCTCCGTATCACATCGAGTCCACAATCTACATCATCATCTCCCTTGAGCCAAATTTCACAGATTGCAGCCAAAAGATAAGCTATAGCAATTCTCTACAACATCATAAAATTATCCAAAATGACTTGGGTTTTTCTTTGTCACTTGTCAGACAAAACAGAAGTAGATATACTGTTAGATACAAAATATATATCCTGGATAGTCCAGAGAGATATACCTGAAGTATACCCATCAACCGTATTTTTGTAATATCAACACCAAAAGTGAGACTGCGGACACCATGGAAAAAACCGCCTGTAAAGATGAAAAACATAATATTTGTGAAGAAGAAAAACATAGTATTTGTAACCAGAAGAATATAAAGCCAAAGTTGATCTCTTCATGGCAATGCAAAGATCATTTCTCCAATTTTCCTTTTTTTTCCCATTTAAAATAAATGCACTATCATTTAATACCTTGGAGAACAAGGCCAAGGCAGAACAACTTGAGGGCACGTAGTACAGCCTTCTTAGTAGCCTCCAATTTGTCCGGCACCCTCTGCACAAAGTAGCACAATTACGATCTAGTTTCGGCTCAGAAGAAGAAAAACATTACGACATTGACCACGTCACTGACGTCAGTGGTTCATACCTTGTACGCGAGCGTTAGAGAGATCCCAACCATGAAAAGGAAGAATGGCATGACGAAATCTGCAATGGTTACGCCGTCCCATGGAGAGTGGTTCAGTGCTGGGAGAAAAGCTCCAGCATCATCGACAATGATCATAAGCTGCATCAGGCAAAATAATCATGGGATGTTATACCTTACAAGAAAAAAACACATTTCTTAAATTCATTTAAAAAAATTCCCCCTTGTACAACACCACGATCGTAAGTGATTAGCTATCAATGCTTCCGTGATAACAATTTACAGTCCAGTGATTTTTGTGTGTGTGATTTTTTTAGATAATGTTGTGTGTGTGATTAGAAGAGCGGGAAACTGTTTTAACAGCTCGAGTGGATATCCAACCGTTTATTGCATGTCATCTAAATGATTTAAAAAAAAAATAAAAAAATATGAATAAGATAGATCAATATGTAATGTATCAATCCACAAACATGCAAGTTAAAATTCAATCTTCCTTATAAACAGAAATGAAACGTTTTGAAAATACACAACTCCCAAAGTCCCAACGCAATCTCAAACCAAAGGAGCGAAGCGAATCAAGCGATGCCGATGGCGACATGTCCAGGACGGCATCGGATTCCATGGCCAGGCCCCAGTTTTCACCGCTATTTTACCTGGAAGAGCCACACGAATATTTTCAGTATTTTGTCACTGGACGGACTACGGACCAGCACTGCCCGGCAGAGACGTTCTTGGATTCCCGGCCTGGTTCATTCAGGCCCCTCTGCCCTGGCCATCGACCAGAGCGAAAATGACATGAGCACCAGAGCGACCAGTTCTTGCCATTGATAAAATCAAGGCGAAATTCGAAACGGGTTTTTTCCAGATAAATCAGAGATGAATTTGTAGCCACTGTAAACAGCTTCACCAACCGGCAGAGAAGCCGGTTCTTGAAGGTGAGCACTGAAGGATTTGCTCAACATCTGTTTGGCGAGATAATTTCATGTCACTTTTCGGTGACCATATGTATGATGATGTCTTTGAAGCCAACCTTCTGACCAAAACCGTCACTGACTCTTCCAAACCAAGCAAAGATTTTTCACAGCCATTGAAAGGACGATGAAGGTGAAAGCCAAGGCGCAGCTGAAAGTTCAGAGACTGGGACGGGACGGAAACCGTGTGCAGGGGTCAGCAAATGTACCTAGCCGTACAAGTATCCATCAGTAATTTTCAAGCTAATCTTGACTCAGCCGTGTGGTTACAGGTCTTCCTCCTGTCTCAGCTCCAGCAAGCACGACACAGGAAGTGTCGCTTTTTTACACTCGCTTTTTTCTGAAGTTTTCTTCTCCTTGAGGCCTTTGCCCATTCAGCGCGTTTATTTGACCTCGAGTCGTCGACGCAGGCCACTGCAGCTGACAAATACCCAAAGCTGGAACAGGAGGTACAGTACTGTACTGGTACTAGTGTACTGCCCAGACACATGTATAAATTGATTGCTTAGCTAGGCTTGCCATTAAATTGGCTGTCAATTTCGCAATTTATTTGGGGAGTATTGATTGTAGAACCAGGTCTAAGAGACAGGCTGCATTGAAATCGTAGTTGGGGTGTTAACGTCTTCCAGTCGGCTAATGTCTGCAACGTGCAGCAGCTTACCAGTTCTCATGGATGCAGCACACATCCTAGATTTTTGGGTGTCTTTTCTTCTTTTCCTTTTATTCGTTGAGTTTGACATCTTGGGCACTAGTGCTAGTAGCATTTGATTCTTCTACTAAAACATTATATATATTTGACATCTTCACAGCCACGGGAGTGCAATGGCAAAATGGACAGGATAAGATGCATTTTAGATCAAATAAAGTTGGTGGTTCTTGACTGCATGTGTGACAGGTTACTGGACCTAATGTCCATGGACTCGAAATTCAGGGAATCAGATTGCACTTAGCAGATCAAATACTCTTTTGGTGACCAGGTGTCTTCCGTTTCGTGTCTAGCTACAGTTTAGCAAAGGCAACACGACATAGATAACCCATTCGATCTCTCGGTGCTTGACACGACAGTCATCAAGAACAAAAGAAGCAATCAGTACAGCAAAAGCCAAAAAAAGAGGAGGTGTCGCAATGCGCCTCACAGCAATGGTCATCTCACAAATAATTAAGGGAAGAGCTTTCTGTTAAAGCCGTGTTAATTATGAACCGGCCACATCACGCACGTCATGCCCCAGCAGGATCAAGTTGCTGGTGCGATGCCCATTTGGCTCCAAGCCACAAACCTCAGAAAATACCAATGCTTATAGCTTTGATCCAAGGAAGCAACAGAGAAAAAGCAGATCTACTGATGATAAGATTCTTAACCCCATACGTTGCATCCCCTTTAATTTATTTAATTATTGAGTATCTTATGGTCATGCAGTTACCAATGTTGCATAAAGTCGCTAGGGATAACCGGTTTTTCATCTGGCTGCGGGTCAAGATTGAAAGACTTTTTACGATGCTTAATTAGAGAGAGAGAGACAGAGAGAGAGAGATCACATTTTTAATGGTACGAGATGTATCAGAAATATTTTAATATAAAAAAATACTGAGATAACTTAGAGTACTTTTTCAAGAACCATAAAAAGGGGTCTTCTATATGCAATGCAAAAAGGGTTGTGATCCGGAGCTCTTCTAGGCTAAGAAACCATTTTGTAAGGGAGATGTCTTGTCTAAGACGTGTACATAAACATGCTGCAACCGGGGTAGCTTTTGGCCGGTGTGGAGGCCTCGTCCGCTTGCCGCGCTTGTCGGCCAAGAAAAGCAAAGCAAAACCGAAGCAATGTTAGAGAGAGAGAGAGAGAGAAAGAAGACCAAATAGAGCAATCAGGCTGCAGCAATCGTGAAGCTGATGCAGCGACGGCTGCGTGACAAATGGTCCCGCCGCGCGAGCTCGATCCAGTCAAACATAAGCTACTAAGCATCACTCACAGAATCACTCGCAGGTGCCTAAAAATTTGTCCTCAAAATTCTGTTTTAAAATTGCTAATTAGATTTTTTTTAAGTGTGAATAGATTCCTCACTACAATAGATATAAAAAAAATTACTTCAATAATAAAAGGTAGTAGCTACTAACAGAAACAGAAATTGCTTTCACCTCTGGTGAACGATCGTCCTCTTTCTTGCGAAGGGATTCTCCACGTGTCATCCTCTCTCTCCCTCCTCTCATGTTTATTGGGAGCCAGAACACTCCTTCACTCATGGAGAGCAAGAAGGATAGAAAAGGGGATTTCAAATTTTTTTGAATCTAACCAGGAAACTATTGGAGACAATTTCCTAAAAGGAAAAAAAAACAAAATTTTGAAATTGAGGGATATATTAGGTATCTGTTGATGATGCTCTGAACCTGTTTAAAGGACGATCTTTTATTCAGCGACCGCAGCAATGTAAACTAATATCTTCAGTTTTTTTTTCTTTTTCGATACGTTTTAAGCTGTTTGGCAAATGGGATTGAAAATGGATATATCCTAATATATACAATCGTACCTATCCATTTTTTTGTCCACCTAATTTTATCTAAACGATACGTTCATTTTTATTTTTCTATTCCATATCTCGCATAATCCATTTGTCAAATACAGGCCATGAAGGTAATAAAAGCTAAAGCTGTTGCTATCTACATTTATATATATTCGTTACGTGACTGCACCGACCGGCGAGACGGAGCGACACACATGGCGGCCGCACGTGTAAAGGGCGACGACGAAATTGCATCTGCCCGCCGGCGAAAGGCCGGTGCGCGCGCCGCTCGTCGATCCGGTCGGCCAGCCCGCGTGATGATCAGGTGCATGCCATGCGACGCCGAGAAAGAATATGTGCCTCCCTGAGATATTCCTTCTTGTTTGTTTCGCTGCACGATTCCTTTGTCCCACGAATTCCGATCGAGCGCATGATAAGTTGGAATTTCGTTCAGCTACCACAGGAATTCAAATCAGAAGATTTGCCAATGTGGGCCTAAATTCGATTATTGTGAGTAGTGCCTCTACCATAGCTCTGTTTAGATCTAGAGGGCAGCCCTCTATTTAAAAGTATTAAACGTATAAATTACTGACAAAACCCATTCCACAACCCTTGGGCTAATTTGCGAGACGAATCTAATGAGCCTAATTAATCCATGATTTGCTACCGTAATCATCCGCTAATAATGGATTAATATACCTCATTAGTTTCATCTTGCGAATTAGCCCAAGGGTTATGGAATATGTTTTGTCAATATCTACATTTAATACTCCTATGTAGAGGCCAGTTTAATCTATTATCTAAAAAACATTTAATACTTCTAAATAGCAAGATACATTTAATACTCCTTTGTTAGGCCTTTTAATAATTATCCCTCCGAACTAAACAGGGCCCATATCTATCAGTAGTTGAAATTGTCAAATCACACGTGATTATTTGGTTTCTCCCTGTAGGATACATTGGACATTACCTTTCTTTTATGCACGCACTTCTCGAATTGTTAAACGATATAATTTTTGCTTGAAAAACTATAGAAAAGTAATTTTTAAATCAAATTAATCTACTTGTAAAATTTTTAACTTATAGTACTTAATTTGTTATGCACTAACAAGCTATATCGCTTTTCGTAGGAGGAAATGAATTATGAATCAGCACTATCGAATAACTCGCAGTTAGTGAGAGCCATATCTAGTTGTAAACCAAAGCCTAACAAAGGTGATTTCAAAAAAAAAAAAAAGGCCTAACAAAGGGGTACCTCCTACTCTCTCAGGTGGCTGGCCTAGTGGCCTCTGTACAGAACAGTCAATTTGATTTTGAAAGGTTCATGCTCTGGCATAATTGGCAGTGGTTGGCATATGGATTGGTGAACTAGAACCGACCTAATACCTTCCCCCCAACACAGCAACATAAACCAGTTCTCGTGGTGCAGAATGACTCTAATTGCAAATTATAATTTGCAAGTTTGCAACTCAAGGTACGTGCACGCGGAACGCTTACGTCACCTCACCGAAGTGGACATCCATAGTGGCTAGCTGCATTGCCTTCATCTACAGTTAATGCGCGATTGCTGCCTATAATGAGCTGGTAATTAAGCTCGTGCTCATTAGAAGGGGTGTATTCCGATCTGATCCAGGTTGGCTCAAGAAGATTGATCCATGGAGATATTAATGCACGATTGCGGCTTTTGATATTTGTACTCCCTCTGTTCTTTTTCATATATTTAGGGATGGAGGTAGTAAAGATGCAAATTAACAGAGAAGAAATAATTAAACACAAAGTCAAGCCTAAAAGGAATACTAAATTATTCCCTTCTCCTTTCCTCCCCTGATCATACCTAAATTAAAGGAATACGACATTATTCCCTTCCTTTCCTCCACTGATCATACATGTTTGTCCTATATGACAATATATTCGAGCTCGCATATGGCCCTACGAACGAGAGGCAGGCAGGCACCAGCTAGCCACGGGTACACAGTCCTTTGGACACGGGGAGATTAATTGGCTGCTGTGTACTTACCTCAAATCTAAATAAACAAAGACAAAGAGAGGACGATCCGTGGGAGCGTTAACGCTGCAGTTGCAGTCTTGCAGTACGTACTATACTAAATATAAATGGCTAATTATAGTGATCTTGCAAGCATGTACTCCCTCCGTCCCAAAAAAAAAAGACAAACCCTGGGTTTCTGTGTCTAACTTTGATTGTCCGTCTTTATGAAATTTTTTTATAATTCGTATTTTTATTGTTGTTAGATGATAAAACATGATTAATATTTTATGCGTGACTTGTATTTTTAATTTTTTTATAATTTTTTCAAATAAAACGGATGGTCAAACGTTGGACATGAAAACCAAGGTTTGTCTTTTTTTTTGGGACGGAGGGAGTATGCTGTGCTGGTACAGAAAAATGTCCGTGCATGCATGCCGTCTTTGCTCCACTAAACTACAGTACTTTCTCTATTTCATAATATAAGACTTTCTAACATTGGCCACATTCATATATATGTTAATGAATCTAGACATATGTGTGTGACTAGATTCATTAACATTTATATGAATGTGAACAATCCTATAAAGTCTTATATTATGAAACGGAGGGAGTAACAAGCAATTGTACACAATCAGAAAATCTCCGTGAGTTCCTCTTCACTAAACCCCGTCTGTTTAAGGACATTTGGCCGATTTCCGCTGCTCCGTCCGTCTCACAAATATTATCGTTCTAGGTTAATTATTTATCAAGGGTTGAGTAAAAAACAATAGTTTCTCTTATTAAATGATGGAAAAGAAACTATAGTGCTATTTATTAGTAAATGATGTGTTGCTAGATGGTCCTATGAGTATGCATGTATATATATATATATATGTCACGTTTCCATATTGGAGGGAAAATCAGTGCTGTGATGATGGATTAGTTTAAGCAGCCAGCACTGGTTATTTTCTGTGGCCAAATTGACCCCTGACTAGGATACCTCACCTTAGTTTCTTCAGGGCCACTGGTCTCTAGTTCATGACTATTACTAGCTATATTTAATCAAACTTCCTAAGACTTGGTCTTGACTCCTCTTTTTTGGAGGCAAAGCTAGCTATTATCACTTCTAGTGGAAAACAAAGAGAAACAACAACTAACAACCAAGGAAAAAAAAGAGAAAAGTTCATGCACAAGGCAACACAACAACCAAAAAAAAAGCTCAGTTCATGCACACTGTGTCGATCAGTAGATCATCATGGAAGGAGGGAAGAAAACGAAATTAGCCGGAGGTGGAGGGCAGCAACAGAGAGGAATCATGGGGGCACACGCGCGAGACAGTTCACGGATCACGGATCGATTTGGTTGGCCGCGCGCAATCGATCGTGGAGATGGACAGGGAAAGCGCAGCGAACGCCAATGCGATCGATCGAGCGCCGAATCAAATCAAACAGCGAAAGGAAAACAAATATGTTCTCGGCTGGGGATTTGTGTTTGTGGTGTACGTACCAGCACGGTGATCCCGCGGAAGACGTCGAGGGAGACGAGCCGCTGCCGCGCGCCGCCCTGCGACGGCGGCGATGACGGAGGCCGGGACTTGGCCGAGACGCCGCCGCCGTTGCAGCTGCCGCTGCCGCCGAGCTCGAGATCTGGCGGGCCGGCCGCCGCGGCGTCGTCGCTCCTGACGAGCTCGTACCCGCCCATGGCGCCCGCCGCCGTCCTCCTCTGCCTGCACGACCACGCCGCCGACGCGCCGCCGGGCAATGCCCCTGCATTACTCCCATCCATCGCGCGCGCGCGTCAGTTTACGATCGACCGAGATGATGCGGAGAACCGAGAAGCGAACGGACTCGGATCGTTTCGATCGGTTGCCTTTACCTGATCCGGCTACTGGGTCGTCTTCCTCCCGGACTCTGATCCGGCCGGCTCGCTCCCCAAATGTAACCGACTCTCCTGATGAAAAACTATTGTGATATTATCCTCTCAATTTATCTGGTGCGCTTGTTGGGAGATGGGATGAACTGGGGGATTAGTCTAGATTTGCCGCCGTTGTAGACGCCTTTCGGTTTCGGCTGCACGCAGCTAGACCGAGCTGATGGTGGTATATATAGTGGTTACTACTGGCCCGCTCTTCTCTCTGTTATACTATTCGTCTTCTTGTCTTAGCACTTCTTAATTTCTCATGTTCTTATTAGGGACCCTTCTTAATATTACTTCCTCCATCTACTATGTCTAGATTCCAAAATAGAATCACGATGTACAGATTCATAATATTAGAATAGAATGTCATTTGATCATCTTAGATAAGATATATTCTACTACTATGATGTCTAAGTTCGTAGTTATAAGATTTGTCTTATATAGTACTACTATGATCCTATATTGATATATTTTTTTAGAAACACGGTACAGATACAACGCTCATAATACGCGCACACTTACCTAGTTAAGTAATATTTTTTACGTAGATTTGACCAATCGTTTTGTTAAAAAAGTTATATAAACATATAAATCAGACTTAAAATAAACCATAATAAAATAAATAAGAAATATATTTTTTATAAAAAACTAAGATGTATAATAAATCGTACGTAGTTAATCGTGTGTCCAGAGAAAGAACCAATTCTTCTCACTCTCGTTGTTCGTTTCAGTATTTGTGGTAGCAAAAAGGGGTGTGTTGCCATCGCATCGCTCGCTCGCTTGCTTGCTCGCTGCGAACTCGCGCCATCATACCGTTTTGCTGCGTATTAGCCACTGTCTTTCCGTGATGCCCTTTTTATTAGTGCCCTCCGAATTGTACTGTTGGCTTTACTTGCTCTGGGTCTGCTCCGCCTCACTACTCTGCCGTGCCTTCTGTGTAAGATGAGAAGAAACGTGACAAAAGTCTTTTTTGAGAGCTAAGATTCTGAGAAACAGCTAGTGAGAATTTAGAGAAGCGAAACCCATATTCTAGCTTCCAGTTCATTTTCTGAATTCTACAATTACAATTTATCAAAATGTAAATGAAAATCTAGATTATTTGAGAAGTTTATGACAGTTGCAGCTTCTTAAAAAAAATTCTCCAGCTGTCAAAAACTCTATAAAATGTCAACATGAATCGGATGCTGCTTTAGCCACGGTGACACCATATTTCCCAATTAAAAAGGGAAGAAGATACTACTTACTTTTGTCATGCATGGACATCAGTATTTCGCCCCGAGCATTGCGGTTTGTATGCGACACGCTAGTTTTCGATACGTTCGTCGCCTCTGGTCACGAGCGAAGAGTGTGGTTATGGAGGTGACACGGTATCAAAGTTGTGATTTGGCCCCTATCATTTGCGCTCTAATATGCCTGTGGAATCTGAGGAATATAGCGCACCCAAATTATTCTCGCATGGACAGTTTTCGCGTGACAAACCAAGATATTTATGGAGATGATGTTCAGAGAGTGTTCTCTCGTATCACAAGTCATGTGTGTGTAATTTTATCTACTCCAATGTGTAGTTACATCAACTTTGGAAACATGTTAGTAATAAATACAAAACACATATAATAATTAAAAACAATGTGTAAAAATTATATGTGTGTTGACGAAAAAATCGAACGCACCGGCCTGGGAGATCTGCTTAGCTCCTGTGCAGGTCCAAATATTGACGAGATACGGGCGTGCCAGTCAGTTTGATCCTGCAACTGACAAGATATACAAATAGTATATCAAAACAGCCGATCGGCTGACAAGCCGATGGAGTAGTTCCAGTCGATAGCCAATAATAGCTAATGCCGATACCAGCCGATAGCGATAGGGTTTAAACAATCGGCTATATATCCAATGTAGATAATGATATAAATGCAATCGGCTGATGACCATGTAATGAAATAACAATATAATCCAGTATAAACCAATCGGCTAGCAATGATATGATAAATAAGCATCGATCCAAAGATCAAAGCACACATCGGCTGGAGGTCCGATGTCATGAAATCCACAAGATTAGATTAAACAGTGAAGCCTTTGTTGTCATCGGCTAAATCCAACTTATATGTATATGCAATCCTTATGAGCCGATGCAACGTCCAGATAACTCACCGGCTGAAACCCCGATGAAACCCTTATTGGCAATCAATAAGCAGGCTAGAGATTATGGTTCTAAGCACGACTTAGTAGATCAAACTTAACTAGTGCAGCACTAAGTATGAAAAGAAACATAATACCTAGACAATCAAACCTTCGACTGATTTTCAGGGTGCTAGATGCCTAGGCTAATCTAATTTAGCAACGCGATTTAGCCGATACCGGCAGAAACCCTAAAGCGAGAGACAGCCGATAGAGCTAAATTGATATGCTAAGACTAGATTAACAGAGACATGATAAATAGGTAGGCAAATATATCATCCAAACCAGAGCAATCCAAGAGGTCGAATGTACTGATGCAGCCTTGAACGACGCCGATGTAAATGAGACAATTGCCTGGGCCGACGGAACATTGGACTTACCCCTTCGCCAGAGATCGAAGACGATGCAGCCCCGCGTTAGGTGCCAAGTTCCGCCAGACGATAAAATAAAGTAAAAAAGGTAAAAGGTGGCGATGCGCCGAATTGTATTGATCGTGGAGATTGATTACAATGACCCCGGGTGTACATATTTATACCCATAGGGAGACACTAGTCCTTGTCGGATAAGAAAGAAACTAAAAAGGAAAAGATAAAGTCCTTATCGGACACTAAACACACTTTCCTAAAGATAAAAGGAAACTAACAAACTATGCATAATTAATAGATAACTGTCATGTCGCATCCTTCTTGAACTCGAACTCTTCTAGATAAACTTCCTTTGATTGATCCGACTCCACCAAGAACACGACACGTGGCGACTTGACTCCCATCGGCTGATTCTAGAACTTTGAAGCCGATACTGACTCTAAACCGATGGTAACTTTGAGCTTACCAAATTTCACTATTAACAATGTGTGACGAATATAGGTAATACTGTCCTTACTCCTTAGGAGATGGGCTCCTCCTTGCTTATGTTTCAGCTCACCATGAACCTCCCTCCCGCCCAATTCGCTAATCTTGGAAAAAGTCCAATGTGACTCCCTCTTATATAGGTCAACAGGTCGGAGCTGATACCTTCAACCACCAAACAATGTAAATCAACTCCTCCAACTTTTAAAACCGTGCAAAAAAAATCTCTTGGTTGTTTTAAGCGTGGTTTTCGTTGATGTGGTGTCCACGTGGCACATTGACCAAGTTTTCATCAACGCAGAACTTACGTGA